ATTTTAAATATTCATAGAAGTGAGCAAGCGTTATTCCACATCTAGAATATAACAAAGCTCTTTTCTTCAGCAATAGCAGGAATAGCCACAGGGTGCATCATTGACCACTAAGGTTCAAATTATTGAATACCTCCCCAATCTGTGATTATTCAATATGACTATACCATTAAATTCCCCCAAATCCCTTCTGAAAAAATTCTTGTTACAGAGTACACTGATAATGGTTATGGTTCCTGATGTGCTGGGATAGTTATCAAACATGTTAGCCAATATTAATTCATTGTTTCTTCACACTTCCATCATACTTCAATACATCTTGTAGTTCCTGCAAGACTGCTCAACAGCTATAGGTGTCTCAAACAATAAGATGCTTGTATCTTAAGAGTTGTCATTTGGGGGGGGGGGGGAGGGGATTTTTTTTTTAATAAATATGGTGATTTCCCCCCATTTTTGATAACTGTTTCTAGGATGAGTGAATGTCTGTGCATGATAGAGTGAGTGCTGATACAGATGCTCTCATACACACACATATGCAAAAGTAAAAATATTTGTTAACAAGATCATAAGCTTAAAATATACCAAAACTCTAAAAACTGTTCTTGAATTTTGTACCTGTTAGACAGTCCGATTTCCACAGGACCTCAAGTACATTAATCCAAAGTAATGTAAATTATCCCATATGCCTACCTGAAATTTATAAATATAAGAAAACTATGGAAACAATATATAACTATATCTATAGACATTGCAAAAACCAATACTATACTTTTTGGATATTGTTTCCATAATTTCCCTAATATATATATTGTTTCCATAATTTTATCATATTTAAAAAATCCAGGTAGGCATGTGGGATAATTCACATTACTCTGGATTAATGTACTTGAAGTCCTGTGGAAATTTGTCCATCTAAACTGTTATATAATATATTTATCTCACTGCTAAGGTAAATAGACGTATCACGTTTGAACCAATGGAACTGCATATGCTTGTGCCAAGATTAATATTAGTCCTAAATGAAACTTCAGAAACATGTATGTGAATTTCCAGGGGAAAAATATAGAAAATGCAGCTGAAATTGTGAACGCAGCATCAACTGCACACGCTGGAACACAGGAAGGAGCAGTCATATACTGGGGACCACATTCTGTAAAGTACTTCTGTCACTCAACATTAACCAAATAGTAGTTGCCTCTAACATACCACTTTTTAACAATACATCTGAAAACACTTTTCCGTGTCAGTATCATTATTCCCATTCTACAAGTGGAGAAACTGAGGCAGAATGGCTAAAGTGACTTGGGAAGGGTTACCCAGCAGGCCTGTGACAGAGCTGGGAATTGAAGCAAAGTCTCCCGAGTCCCAATCTAGTGCTATTGTTGACAGCAGGCTGCCTCCTTATGTCACCCTGTGCAGTTTTAACCTTTATGCATGATATTTACATACTTCTAAAGAAACTTTGTGAGAAAGTTAGAAAGGCTTAAAAAAGAGGCTTAAACAAACTTCTAAATGCAGCTATTTCATATCCTGGGACAGAAACTATGAAAGCATTGAGATTTTTTAAAATAGAGGGAAGTAAAGCTTTCTCAAATGTTAAAAATGCAGCCTTAGTAACCTGAGTGGATATGTGCTCCTATTTCCTTCACACAAGTGAAGATTGAGATGTTTTTCATAGTTCTTCTTTAAATGCTTTCTGTGAACTTTATCCCATTATGTGTTCAATTAATCTTTTTATTGTGCTGTCTTACAGACAAAGTTTCAAAAGGATGAGAACTCACTGCATCAAGCCTGTGTTTATGATATTCGTCTGCTGTAAGATATTTTCCTGGTTTTATTAGTTTATCTGTCATATTTGACACATAGACACCAATTTTAGTCATTTGAGTGGAGGTTGTATTTCTAGTCTGTTGCTGCTTGTTCTTCTCAACAGTAGTCTGAAACAAAAAGTATGCTTGTGTCATCACAGTAAGTCAACATAAACTATACTGACAATAAAGAACAAGATCAGTTACAACAGAAGCATGTAAGAGTTTAAGCCTAATCCTTAGGTGGTATTTATTCTTTGGCTCTCCCTCCTCCCATCTTCACCCCAATAAATAGTTTGCTTCTGATTTTTTAACTAAGGGAAGGGGGGGAGGGGGAAATCAAAAGATGCCTGTTATTCTGATAATCATGTCAGCCTCCTATTCTGTTTAGTAGAAAATATTCTAAATGGAAGACTGTAAAAAGATTACCTGAGTCTCTCGACAGAATACTTCAATTCCTTTGCCAGGTCGTTTTTTGGGTATGGTTTGTGATCCTGCATTATGAAATTCTACACCTGTTTCTCTATGCTTAAATCCCCCCAGAAATGGTTTACGGTAGGTAGGTCTTTCAATCTCTACTGCTACATCCTGGAATGTATTGGCATCTATTCAATGAAAACAATTACGAGATAAAACAATTTATTGAATATCATTTGCATCTAATTATAGTACCATAAGACTATCAATGCATATTCAATTGAATTTGTACCTACTTATATCACAAGACTATCAATGCATATTTCAAGAACACTTTACCTGCTTCCACTCTGACAGTTATGACATCGGGCATGTTGTATTCCTGCTGCAATTTAATTGGTCTGATTGGATAATTTTCTGGATCAAGAGATAACATCTCAATCTGGACAGTTTCATGAGGCCTAACTCCAATACTCAATAGAGTCTCACTATCTTCAATCATCCTTCCTAAAAGTAAAAATGTAACAATGAAATGTATTCCTCTTTTAAAAAAATATGATACAGTTAATAATTTCTTTCCATGTAGTATTACTAGATAAGGTGCCAAAGAACAATCATGGCCCTGTAAGTAAAACAGTCTACTCTGAATTTAGGGTAAGGTTATGTTGATGATGATCCGAGAGATAACCCAGGTAGTACCAATAAAAAGGAAGGGGGGAAAACAAATCAGTCACAGCAAGAAAAGCCATAGCAATTAAATATATTCATTTTATTATGGTCAATTTCTGCCTTCCTCAATGTGTAAGGGGAAAAATGAACTGACACATTTTATTTTTAAAATGGAAAATTAAAAAACTCTCCAACCATCTGTGAGGGGCCCAGGAAAAAAAAATGCTGGTTCATTTTACAATATCCCCAATGTACAGTTCTATTAACAGTAACAGAGTAACAACCTGATCTTGCAGAAGGATTCACAAAGAGATTCTCGTACCACTGTGGAACCCAACTCAAGTCAGCCTGTCAGGATACAATTGCAAAATCAAGGTCTACCTATTCTGACTTTTTTATAGAGCTGAAAGTGTTTATGTTGATACATACCTTGAAATAGGAACTGTAAAACACTCTCTGGTATTTTTAGCTGTGTTGCAAAGTACTGCTTGAGGTTCCCTGCAGTCTGGTATATGTTAAAAGCCATTGTGATCATCTGGATATCAGGAACTAACATGATTTTAACTGAGGAAAACAAATATGAGACAAACCCATTTGTGATATATGAAGGGAAAGTGTTATAAATGCTATTATTTGGATTCAGCCATTAATTCTGTTTCCAATACATACATTTTGGATCCCCTTTCTTTCCCAATACAGTTAATGACCGCAACATTTGTATGTATACCTGACAATATAATTTGTTATATAAATTGTATACATTTAAATTATTTCCACGGTTACCAAATGCAGAAATTACATGACTTAAATACACCCATTCCTAAACTATGGTAGAAACTTTTATACCAATACTATAACAGAACTGCTGAGCTAGTCTGTGGTTCTTATGCAAGAGATCTTTCCTCACACAGTTAGTTCTACTTTCACTCAGTGCAGGGCTCTCCAATTTCTGAGTGGCCAGTAGCTGCAGGACCCTCAGCCACACTGCATGGGCCACATATCCCCAGGCTGCATGTTGCACCACATACGCACACCCACCTGGCAGAGGTGCCCAATGCACCATGAAGCACCTCCCCACCGCACTGCACTGGCCCCCATGCTGCATAACCCCCCCGCCCCACCATGTTGAACCACAAGGGCCCCTGCCATGCAGGTTTGCCAGATCACACGGCTCATTTCAATACAGCAGCCATACCCCCAACTGTACAGTGGGCAACTCCTGCTGAACCACACCAGTGTGGATACCATGTGGAATTCCTGGATCCCTCCGAGTCTTTCAGGCATGGGCTCCCTCCGCCCCACAAATTGTGCTGCTCCTCACCACCCTCAGGTGTGGGGACAGGCAGCAGAAATAAGGGCAGGGGCTGGCAGGCCATTCTATCCTGGCCCACCAGGCCATTCAATCCAGCCCGAAGGGCCACTCCAAAAAACGTATTACTGGCCCACAGCTGCCCCTCTGAAAGCTGGTGGCCGGTGTGGGCTTCTAGAGGTACTGCATCATTGGACAGGGCGGATTCTGTGGTTCCACCTCCATGGGGCTCCCAGGCATAAATATGGTGATTTCCCCCATTTCTGATAACTATTTCTAGGATGAGTGAATGTCTGTGCATGATAGAGTGAGTGCCGATACAGATGCTCTCATACACACATATATGCAAAAGTAAAAATATTTATTAACAAGCTTAAAATATACCAAACCTCTAACAGGTACAAAATTCTAGAACAGTTTAGACAGTCCGATTTCCACAGCACCTCAAGTACATTAATCCAAAGTAATGTAAACTATCCCATATGCCTACCTGAAATTTATAAATATAAGAAAATTATGGAAACTATATATATCTATATAGATATAGACATTGCAAAAACCAATACTACACCTTTTGAATATTGTTTCCATAATTTCCCTAATATATATATAGTTTCCATAGTTTTCTCATATTTAAAAAATCCAGGTAGACACGTGGGATAATTCACATTACTCTGGATTAATGTACTTGAGGTCCTGTGGAAATTTGTCCATCTAAACTGTTATATAATATATTTATCTCACTGCTAAGGTAAATAGATGTAACACGTTTGAACCAATGGAACTGCATATGCTTGTGCCAAGATTAATACTAGTCCTACATGAAACTTCAGAAAGATGTATGTGAATTTCTGGGAGCCCCATGTGGAAGCACCAAGTGCGTTGCTGCATAACCGGACAGCTGGTAAGTGGTGAGGGGGCTCCTGCCTACAGGCGGCTGTGGGGGTGCATGTGCCACATGCCCCACCCCTCCCAAATGGTGCAGTCCCTGCTGGCTGTGGCAGCAGCAGCAGAATGCATTGAACCCTCAGGGTGCTCATGGATATGGCAGGCAGAGCCCCCTGGTGGCATGTGGCTCTGGCTGAGTCCCAGGGGCTGCACATGTGGTGGCACCAAGTAAGCCTGGCCCACTCCCGTGTGCCTTCGAGCCAGATCGGGCTGGATCTGTGCCTCCATGTGGGGCTTTGAGCACTCTGGTGGGGATGGGGAGCCACACACAGAAGTATGAAGCCCACCTGACCCAATGACATGCTACACGCCAAAGACTCTAAGGTGGTGGACTCTGCCTGCCACAACCATGAGCCGCGAGGGCCCTCTGCCTGGTCCTGGCAGCAGAGACTGTGCACGGGGAGCTGCTGCTGTTGAAAGCAAGGGCTATCAACGAGGTGGGGAGTGTAGCAGGGGAGCCCACACCCACCCCACACAAACTCCATAGACTTCCTCACCCACATTCCCCCTTAAACCCCACTC